TTGATGAGCCACTGGATGTACAAGATATTTAAACATCCATTAAAGTTGTTGTACAGAGCTTGATGAGCCACTGGATGTACAAGATATTTAAACATCCATTAAAGTTGTTGTACAGAGCTTGATGAGCCACTGGATGTACAAGAAAATATTTAAACAACCATTAAAGTTGTTGGACAGAGCTTGATGAGCTCCTGGATGTACAAGATATTTAAACAACCATTAAAGTTGCTGGGCAGAGCTTGATGAGCCACTGGATGTACAAGATATTTAAACAACCATTAAAGTTGCTGGGCAGAGCTTGATGAGCTCCTGGATGTACAAGATATTTAAACATCCATTAAAGTTGTTGTACAGAGCTTGATGAGCCCCTGGATGTACAAGATATTTAAACAACCATTAAAGTTGCTGGACAGAGTTGATGAGGCAGTGGAGATATGTTAAACGTGTTGGGAAGAGATAAACAAGACCAGCGAACTAGATGTAGCTGACTACTGAAAGATACATTGATTGATACAAATGTTGTGTTTTTGTAAGGGAATGCAACCTGACATCCAAAAATTTATTTGCTGCTCCACAACTGTAAGAAATGTTTCAAGTGTCTTAGAATGTCATATTGTGTCTGTAAACTCTGCATATTTTTAAGGAAAGTTTAAATTTTAACAAGCAGAAATGTAAAAACTACAGCTGTTGCTATAAATATGGTGATGTTTAGGTGTTTTTCCTCATGGTTAAAATTTATTGATCCAGATCACAGCTATGTTATTAACATTTTTAATATAATTTTCTTCGTTCTTTTTTTTGGCTTATAGATTATATTGATTTTTTCTTACTAGAACAGATTTTTTTGAATGTCCTTATTGGTAGAAATGTCCTTTTTTATGGTCTTGTTTCACGTGATACCAAGATACTTTGTTGTGACGAAGTACAGTTATTTGTACGATAAATTAAAAGTAACATTTAAAATGTATATTTTATAATATTTTCCTATTCAGTTTACCAGTTTGTATGACTTTATACATAACACTAACACAATTGAAGTACAAGTTGTTTTACGTTTTTGTTAAAAGTTCTCATTATGAAGCTATTTATACCAGCTAGTTCTTTTCTGAGGACGTTCATAGACGTTACTTTTAATGAGAAACAATTTACCAACACACTTAAGAAAACTTTTTAAAATTTTCTTAAGATTCATATCAATATTTCATGGAATGAAATTCAAATTAGCATCTGTTGTGAGGCCTAAATCAGAAGTGTAAAACTGCTTCCCTAGTCTATAGGAATGACTGCCTGAATAGTCAGAGATTTTTCATGTGTTTTTCATAATATAATAATCTCCTGAGGGTTTGGCTTGTAATTCTTCATGCAATCTTTTTTTCAAATAGCTAATTTAGGTTCGAATGCTAGTCCTGCAAGCAGGACTCCACAAGACGATCAAGCTTATTTAGAGAAGCTGAAGCAGTTATCAAAGTACAGGGAGCCTCTGAGAAGAATGATTGCTCGGATCGATAAAGATGAAAGTACGTGAAAAACCACATCTATACAAGAAGCAATAGATATTGAAATGATATTTTTCTCATGATTAAATAACAGACCTATTTCTCCAATTAAGTTCTTTTGTCCAATCGTGATTAAATAACAGACCTACTTCTCCTATTAAGTTCTTTTGGATTGGACAAAAGAACTCAATAGGAGAAGTAGGTCTGTTATTTAATCAGGATTGGATTATTTAATAAGGATTGGACAAAAGAACTTAATAGGAGAAGTAGGTCTGTTATTTAATCACGATTGGACAAAAGAACTTAATTGGAGAAATAGGTCTGTTATTTAATACCAGACCTTCTTCTCCTATTAAGTTCTTTTGTCCAATCCTTATTAAATAACAGACCTTCTTCTCCTATTAAGTTCTTTTGTCCAATCATGATTAAATAACAGACCTTCTTCTCCTATTAAGTTCTTTTGTCCAATCCTTATTAAATAACAGACCTTCTTCTCCTATTAAGTTCTTTTGTCCAATCATGATTAAATAACATTTAAATAACATGTATTAATGTACATATGGTTGGGAATGAAAACTAAACAATGAGAAATTGTGTATTAATGTACAGACGGTTGGGAATTAAAACTAAACAATGAGAAATTGTGTATTAATGTACATATGGTTGGGAATTAAAACTAAACAATGAGAAATTGTGTATTAATGTACATATGGTTGGGAATGAAAACTAAACTATGAGAAATTGTGTATTAATGTACGTACGGTTGGGAATTAAAACTAAACTATGAGAAATTGTGTATTAATGTACATATGGTTGGGAATTAAAACAAACAATGAGAAATTGTGTATTAATGTACGTACAGTTGGGAATTAAAACTAAACTATGAGAAATTGTGTATTAATGTACATATGGTTGGGAATGAAAACTAAACTGTGAGAAATTGTGTATTAATGTACGTACGGTTGGGAATTAAAACTAAACTATGAGAAATTGTGTATTAATGTACGTACGGTTGGGAGTTAAAACTAAACTATGAGAAATTGTGTATTAATGTACATATCAATAATGATTATAAGACTAACATAAAAAAAATGTTGAATTGACCAAAACACAGGATATGTAGACTTACTTAATAGGCATAGTAAAGCAAACAGTCATTTCTAGGCTGGCACTGATTATAAAACTTACCAAATATACACCTGTGAAAATCCTCCAAAGTTGGCTAAAATTTTTAAATTAATTAAAACACAGAAAATAATATTTTGGAGAAACCTTTTTAAATAGTTTGGATTATTAGTAATGAAATTTGTAATTTTTGTGAGATAATTACATTTTTTTATGATCAGATCGTAAGAAGGAACTGAGCAAGCTGAAGAACCTTCTTGATATTTTGTCTGATCCAAATAAAAGGTAAGTTAGTGGTGTTCTAGCTAAAATGTCAGCAACATTCAGTTATTAGAAGTCATTTGTGTAAACATTTAAAAGTCCTTATTTTGTGTGTATGTGGCAGTAAGATTAAGATGAGAAAACGATTTCTTGTAAATATAAAACAACTTTATTAATTCTTATTGATAGTAAGAGCAAAATACAAAGGGTGCAGGTAATTAATTAATTAAATTATATCTGTTAATTTCTCTCAGTAAAATCAGTATGTACAATCGCCCATATTTACAATGTTACGGCTTTAATTTAAACGTGGGGGGGGATTTTCAGTCTCAAAGACAGAAGTTCTTAAATTGGTTCTGCGACTTTAATAAAAAGCTTTAGAAATGTGGAGACAACAGTTTTACGTGAAGAATTTATTTAGAATATACAGATTTGAGGAAATATCCTTTCTATGGGTATTTTTAAGTATGTATTATTGAATATCGGTTATTATATGATATCATATACACTTAAAAAACAGGTTTACAAGAGCCCCCAAGAAGTAACCATGAGTCGTAGCTAGTTGATGATAATATAGAGTTGATTGTGTTTTACATTAATTAATCTGTACGATTGGCTGAAAGGCACAAAACGATACAAAATAACCACTGCAGTATATAGTAGTGTCTTACCTGTAGATCTGGGTGATAACATTACTACTAAATATTCAAATGATCAAGTATGTTACTTATTTGGATTTCTGTCTCCAGGTGCCCCATGGAAACTCTCCTAAAGTGCGAACATGTTTTGGAGAAGTTGGAGTTAAAGGAACAGGCTGTGAGTATATTAACGAGTATCGTCATTCAGAAACC